TGTGATGGTTACGTGCAAACCTGGGCACCTGCTTGCTGATGTAGTTCTCCACCCAACCACAGTGAATGAGTTTATGAAGGGGACAGGTATTTGACATGAGCTCTTCAGTTTTTTGCAAAAGTCTCCTGGATTACAAATTGCTCCAGAGTGGACAATCTTACTTGCTTTCCTTTTGTGCATTCACGGCACAAAACATCATGTCTTTGTACGTAGTTACGCTATGAGGGAGAAAAATGCCCCAGCTTGTTCAGAACTGGATGGGTTCCCAGGATTTTCAGTGTAAAAATTTGGAAATTTCTAGATAAACCAAAGTGAGTGGATTACTTCACCATTAAGGATAAAGGGACCCCAGAGGCTAGCGATTTTTTTTGTTTGTTTTTGTTTTGTTCTTTTTGTCTCTGCCTCAGAGGTTCTGCTGGTTGGCCAACTATGAGGATATTTTGGACCTCAGGTTCCTGGTCCTATGAAGTCAGGTAAAGAGTATAGCAGTAGGAGCTCCAGGAGACATTTCCAGTTTGGGGCTGCCAAAATTCATATTATTCATACACAGGCAGCTGCATGGCATTAGGATATTGTGGTACAGATCCTTGGAACCAGCATAGCTACATGGGTCTCAAGAGGCAAGGTGGTGACCTCCATTGTGTGGTTTCTTTAATCCTTAGAAAATGAGCCTCAAGGAAGCCTCAAGGGGGTATTTCACAGACTGGTAGACACTGCAGTAGGGAAACTGAATCAGAGAAGGCAAGTGCAGGCAGAAAGGAGGATGTGAATGGAGGTTTGTCAGGTAGAAAAACAGATGGGTCACATAGGCACCTAGGAGGAAAGAGGTGTGAGTGGCAAAAATGTAAGGATAATAAGGAAGAGATGGAGAAAGTAGCCCAGCTGGAAGGTTAGATTTGGAGAGCAGTGAGGAATTGCTACAATCTACTTAAGACTGACATCTTCTTGGTTTCCAAAACATATTAGAGAACTCCAAATATGAGTGAGCTACTTCCTATCATTTAGTTTTCCTTATTTTTGGTTTTAAGTGTGGAGTCACATGCTCTGTTTGTCCCCAGGAACTTAGAACCTCAGAAAGTCATCAAAGAGTGTTCTAGGGGCCACTGACCTCCCTGTCTCTTCGACTCAGGGTCAGGGCTTTGGGACCTCATATTTCGGGGAGAACGATTGCTCCTGTCCCCGTTAAGCCCAACATCTGGGTGAGGCTGACAGTTAGGGATACTGGGAAGGCTTGGCTGTCACCTCCTTTCTTACCTGTATCTAATGCTTGGGGGTACAATACATCCATGGCTCCTATTATGAGAAAGTTTTAAAAGCAGAGCCACAGTGCATACCTTCTTCCTGTGGGTCCCAACTTCGTACTTTTATACTTTATAGAAATATCATCCTGGTCTGTTAAAAGTGCTTAAAATATTTTAGGACAACTGTCCTGCCTCCTGTGCCAGCCTGCCTTCCTTCCTTCCTTCCTTCCTTCCTTCCTTCCTTCCTTCCTTCCTTCCTTCCTTCCTTC